TCGTTTCGTTCGCTTTTCTTTGAACGGAGCAAAACCTTAACATTCCTTCTCTTCACTTCCTCGACAAGTAAGGAAAAAAGAACTGCACTAGGCGACTGTATCAGTATCGGTGTTTTTTGTTAGTACAACGAGCACTACTACTAGTAGGTGTAGTCATGAAGATGATAGGAAAGAAAAAAAGAATGAATGAATGAATGGAACCAAGGCCACGGAATCTGGGAGTTGCTCCATCAGCTTCTCCTGTTTCGAAGGTTTTACTAGTGGAGTAGACGGACCGGCCCATGCCATGGTGGTGGTGAGCTTGAAATGCAGTCTTGGATGACTGTCAAAGTCGAGTTTATAGGCCCTATTTGTCTTTTACTTGCATTGACTCCAGGTTCATATTTCTCTTTTAAGTACCTAGAGCTAATATAGCTCCTGAGCTTTTACTTCCATGAAAAGATCTGTGCATTTGGACACTTCTGTAGGCTAATCAAGATATAGCAACTCATGATCTATAAGCTCATAGCTTGCTCTTTCAAAATCTACCTTCGTTACTTTTCATCTAGTTTTTGGCGTGTTTGTCTTATTCCAGACATTATAGATGTAATCTTTTCTCAAACCTGTGTACACCTGGCCGTGTCCATACATGCTTTCAAGCGCATTACAAAAATTGGCTTTCTAGCTCCTGGCGAACGTCTTGAGCAGTTCATCGCTTGAACTCATCTTGCTGACTGGAAGGCATGGAGAAATGAATTCTCGACACATGATGCCAAGAGAATCTGCATTCATAACTCTTGTTTGGTTCTTGTTTTGTTCGATATATGAATATTATATGGGCCAAAGCATGTCATGCCTCTAGACCAAGCCCACGAGTGAAGTCATATGCTTAACCTAATCCATGGAAGTCTTCTCTCTCTAGACGGGCATAATATCTCAAGCTGGGGCCGAGAAATGACAAGGTCACAAGCTCATAGCCTAATGTCAAATATCTTGCTCTCATGAATGCTCGCTAAATTGCATCATATAGTCATAGCTCTTATTTCGATGCTCCTTCGATTTGCATGGAGAGTAAAAACGAAAAGGATGTCCTTTTTCTTTTTAAGAGGCAAGAAGTGACATATGGCAGGTCGTGCAAAAGGTGTCTAGGCATAAAGTTCGACCACGTAGAGATTCGTAGTTTAACCTCTGAAACCCAAGGTAACATGATAGAGGCAATAGTCACATGGTTTGTGGGGATCTTCGCGTTTACTGAATGATAGTTTCCATTCCGAGATGTTTCTGTTGCATGCACGATGACTGGCCCGTGGCTCATTTCTGATGCACAACGTTGACAATGAAGTTGTATGTCACGAGGTTGAGGATCGTTTACCAATCCCACCTGGTTGTCTAAAAAGTTCAGCAGGTCGATGTTATTTCATAGGTGTGTGATCGAGGAAGTAAGAAAGAGGAACAGCTATTTTGAGCAGCCAATGCTTTTGTCCACGGCAGCTGTTTAGAGTAAAGGACCATTAGGAACCTAATGACCTCCACCGTGTGAAACAACGGTGAAGGGAGCAGCCATAGAAAGACTGAGAACAAAGCAGAGGACGAAATCTCCGACTTTACATGCATATTCATGGTTTTTGCCTAACCGGGAAACTTCGTCCATCCACCGCATTGTAGGTATACTTTAGTCAAATGGGTTTGTATGATTCGATGTAGCTAGCTTGCGAGTAGATTCGAGTCGGTGCATCTGGAGTGCATTACAGATTTGTCCACATATAGAAACTGGATTTTGCGTTCATGGTTGCGGTCAACTAATTCCAGCCCACAAACCATGGCCTTTGCAGACAGCATGTTTCTTTTTATGCAGTCCTGGGGTGCATGAAGGCGGCGCAGTTGCACCCCTAAGGCTTCATTTTCGTCCAACACAGCTCAATCATTTTCAGCACGAGAAAGAATAAAACAACAATGCTCACACAGGCTCAAGGGGCCTTTGGATTATTGGATGGAAGCATATCTTGTTGAACGCCCAAGTCTACCTCTCATTTGAACTCGAACTCGGTTGGTGCTCGGTACCAGTATATGCGCTGGAGATGCTCACGCATAATTGCGAGCATCTGAAATTGCTCGAGAATCTGGGAACTTGTGTGGTCGGTCATATTTAATCTCCTATGATCAGAAAATCGATGAGAATATGATGTATTTTATTTGGTCACCAACCGTCCATGTCTGCTAAACTAACGAGATACTTGTTCTAGAAATGCACATAATAATCCTTTCTGTCAGCTGCACACGGACAAGTAAAAGGATTTTCAATTGTGATCCAGTGCTTCGTGAATTTCACGGCTTTGCAGATGAGTATGAAGATTTTGGGTCCTAGTAGGTAGTTTCGTTTGACATGTAGCGGAGCATATGCTACTTGTGCATGGTTTCCCACCAATCCCATGACGCCTTTTGTGAATCTCAAGAAGACATTTTCCCGTTTGGTTACGCAAATGGCATCGTTTCGCTTCAATATCTTTGCAAATGTGTGAACCATTTTCGAAAGATTCTCATCAGCTCTATACTTGACTTCATGGATATCTAATTGGATAGTTGACTTTCATTGTACGACCGCCGTCCATCGGGACAGAGAATCTTCGACTGTCCACGAGGGGGGAAAATGCTTGAAATCTTGATCTCAAGAAAACCGTGGGAATATGAAGTTCATTTTAACTTATGAGCTGTTGTTGCTCGGTTCGTGGCTGTATGTGGACAATGAACATGTCAGCGAAAAAAGCACTCGTTTCCTTTTCTCCTTTTCATCTTCAAGCAGAGGTGTAGAGGCATGTTGTTTATGCAGCACATCTCTTATAGTATATGGGCTCTCTTTTCTGTTGGGGCTGATTTGTGCTTACGTCTTAATACGAACAAGTAATCTGGTATTCAGGTAGTATCTAGTGTAACGTCTTGACAATCCGGAAGCGAGACTGCTGGAGAAACGACCATACTTATTGTGACACGATGGAGACTGTGGGAATAGATAAGAGTAAAGTATACAAGTATCACTAATGGAGAAACCTCAGAAGATCATCATTTGAAGTTGTTCAACACTAGATGCTGATCTTCGTTTCTATGATCACCAAATCCGGTCGGGTTTTGAGAGAAGAAGACAAGTCCTCATTTTATCCTTTTGCCAATCTGCACCAGATATTTTGCATATAACATGTCGATAAATGTGACTGGCCGAATATGAGAGGTCTGAACGATATACATGGTGTCATTCATTGCAATATCCAGTTACTCCATGAGGACAAAACAGGAGTCATGGAGGTCAATCAGGTCCGCAATGTGATAATGAAAGGCTCGATGATTCTCGAGAAACATTTGCAGCAGGATAACAGTCAAAGTCGGTGCATTTGGTCGGTATTAGGGACCCAGGTTCGTTAGACTGCTGATGTGATAATATCTACAGCACCTTTGTTCTTTATATACTTCTATGCTTAATCTTCTTTCTGGACATGCTTCCACACCTGCAGGCTAAACTTCATTCTCGGTCGGTTGGAAGGCGGTGCATCTAGTATGAAGGAGGTGCAGGTAACAGACTCTGAAATTCTCATTCTCATTTATCTCGATATTGAAGACGAAGATCTGAGTAGGACTGAAAAGGTGGCAATATATATATGTATAAATATATGCATATTAAACTGCGCCAGATCGAGAGCAAACAGACCCATTGTGGATCTTTGGGAAAAGGAGTACCGGCACCTCGGTGGCAGTTCATGCGAAAGTGGTGCATTGGGATGAACAAACCTGAGGCTTAAAATAGAAGCACCCGTTGCATCACTTCTGCAAAAGAACAAATCAAAGACCACTCAATGCCTCCCATTCGGAGGAATGGTGGTCGACGAAAAGTCTGCAGGATTTTGAGATCAGTGCAGTTGAGCCAAGGTCCACAGTCAACTTGGGGGCCTCATGAAAGCTCTGGAGCTCTATACTTTATGTCTATTCCTTCTCTTCCCCCACCTTGTTTCGACATGCTGGAATCAGAATCAGTGCAATTTGGGTTCCTCATTCCTTGGTGGTTGGAATCCCAACCAACTGCGCTGAACGTTTTCAGATCCTGAAGCACGAAACCCTTGTACTGTCTCTATCACTCTTTTGTTGTTGAACCCCTTTCGAGTTGATATTCCCAACAAAAGTCATGCACGCATGACTTCTTTCTTCTTCTTAGGACAAGCCTCTTGTTGCTGAAACCCTGAAGAACAACCATCAACATTAAGACGAAACCAGAATGACTCGCTGAATGCACGGCATGTCTCCATGGGATGATGCTCATGACAGGCCATACTTCGTTGGCATGACCCAAGTTAGAACGACTGTTGTCGTATGTCCCACTGGATTTCCAACTAGACTCGCACTGCATGCCTTTTGTCTTCAGAACGAAGCTGATCCCATCTTCTGCACCACTCAAGTAGCAGTGTCTCTCTCTAGAAAAGATGAACCAGGAGATTTGCTTTTATTGCTTCATCCTTCATCCATTCACGATGCAGTAATTCAGAGAGGATAGGCTCAACGAAAAATCAGCACAAATTGAGGACAACAAAAGTTGGCAGCAAAGTGCTTCCGTCTTCTTGCTGATGCAGCATGAGACGCATCAGTCGGCTTAGTTGGACTCGAGAGATCTGTGGGCTTGCCAGGGTGATGATGACAACATGTTCTCGGGTCCGAATTCGCTCAATCCTTCATATCCTTAATTTGTTCACGAAAGGGTGTGTGTTTTTGGGTGCGGATGTGTATTATTGGCCACTTTTTTATGGTTATGATGGCTATGTGGATATCATCATGCACTAACAACTCCAGTACCGGCAGATAAAAGGAGAGCGGAGGATGTGCATAATTTCATCCAGCTATGTACTACGATCCCTTTCTGGTATAACAAGAAGGATTCCGAGGGAACACCCAAGCTACCTCCCAATGTGTGGGAGTAGACCTGAACGACGGATGCCTCCTCATGCTTTCCCCGTTAGGCTTCAGTTTGGTAACTGAAGCCTATCGGAACTCTTGAAGCACACGGCAGGCGTGGATTTAATGTCCATGACTTGCCTCGGAGTTTTCACGGACATCACACTTCTTATTGCCTCTCGGCGTTGATCTCAGACCTCAGATCAGTGTGTGTCGGTAAGTAGATGGGCCATGGGGAAAACATATTATAATGTTTGCATGCATTGCATTTGTATCCCAAGGGGCGGTGCTATAACACTTGCTCTGCTCTGAAGGAATTACAGGAAAGGGTTGACGAGCTCTGATGTTGTCGGTACACTCCTTGGGAAGCTCCAGGGACTCTTTGCTTTGGAAAAGGACGTGAGTTCAGTTCATGCATGAGTCTATGGAAGAAGATCGTACCCGTGACTCAGATCCCACTCCGCTCACCTGGGAGCACATGTCGTGTCAAAATGCACAGACATGAAGCGGGCGACATGTTGCATCCACACGATCTGCGTTGCGTATCGATGGGTAAAAAGAACGAATGGGTCGTCCACATTGAGAGGACGAAGGAACGAAGGCTGAGGGAGGGAGGGAGGGAGGGAGGGAATAGATAAATATGCGCTTTTGGTCGAAACGATACGATGGTCCCCACTGCAAGTTATAGAGTGCCTTTTCTTCGACCAAAAGCTTGGATCGTGTCACGAACATGTGGAGTTTCTGGAAGAGGTCGAACAAAAGGCAAGCCAGCGAGTGGAAAGCTTTGGGCCGCTGCAAACCTTCGACTTCGTCAACGACACAACCGCTTTCGAAGTCCGATGGTTTTGTTTCGCTTTATGGCGCAAAGCGAGCTCGTCTCCACTCAGCCTCGCGTGGCCCGAGTGCTCGCACCATCACGCATGATGCAGATCGCGTTGCAAGCCTCGGAGCCACTTTGCGCGAGCGCGAGTAGTACGAAGACGAAAGTCGATCGGTACGACGATCGATCGGTTAGGCTGCGCTGGCTTACGTATCGCATAAAAAAACCTCCTCCCCTGCTGCTGCTGCTGCTGCTGCATGGCCATGACGGGCCTAGAGCTGGCCGAGATCTACCGCCTGCAGGCACAACCCACTGATCGTGGCCGATTCACTCCGCGGCTCCGTGTCTGAAAGACACGATGATCCGATCGGGCCCCTGGGGCTCGTCCGTCGTGCACAACTGGGTCGCATGGTCTGACGATGTTCCTTTTGTCTTCTCCTAGCCTCCCCTCGAGAATCTTCCGGCTCGAGCCGACGCAATTCTGTGCGAGTCGCGATGCCATTCATCGTCGAGTGCAGTCAATATTTAGGGTTTAACGAATGGTCGAGCGCGCGGCCATGGATCCCACACAGGCCCCAGCACATGCACTGCAGTGCACTGCAGTGCTAGAATAGCCCGAGCCCAGAGCCCAAAAGGAGAGAAGCCGGAGCGTTGCGGTCTGCTCTCGAGCGGGAACAAACAAAAGCCACGAGGCTAGAGATGGGTTCATGCGAGTCGATAAGACGATGATGTGGTTTGCAGCGATCGAAGCTTTGGTCTCCCATTCGACGAAAATTCCAGATCGCCAAAAGACGACCCGCAACAACATTCTCGCACCGGCCATGTCTCCATGGCAGGCAGGCAGGCAAGCAATGTTCCGATGGTCCCCTCGCTCCGTCGACGAGTGCCCACTCCGGATGATTGGACGGCAAAAGCAACATGTCCGAGCTGCTCCGGTCAATGTGTGCTATCGAACTAGCAGACACAAATTCCCGGGCTTCAAAAGATCGGCGTCGCTGCGAGCGAGCGAGATTCAAAGCTCGCGTTGTTTGATTCTTCGCTCCGTCACCCACGTCCCTCAAACGTTCTCTCGACCCTTCCATGCATCGGCATCGAGCTCGGCCGTCTTCTCCACTTGTTCGCCTCCATGATATTGTGCTCGTCCAACGCTCCACCTTCCCTTCCCCTCCCCTCGCTGCATGTCTGGCCTAGTGCTTTCTCTTGTTGTATCTCTATCTGCGTGCTGCAAATAGTCCCACTTCTCCATCTCCCCTAGAGCATCTCCAACTTGATAGCTGCGATGTATTTTGACCATTCTCTGTAACTATCAAATCACACCTGATGCCAATAGTTGAACAAAATATCATATCAATATTTCTAGTTGTAATAAATTGCTTTTTTTTTTATAAAATCTTTTTATTTTATGTATATATATATATATATATATAAAACACACATGGCAGTTATCGTAACAATGACTCCGTTGTTAATTTACTTGACCTTGATGATAAATATTTTTTTAGAAATATAGTTTCGATTAGATATAAATTTTACACTATGACCTGTTATTTCCTTCAGATTTATTTATTAACTTGAGTTTTTTATTTTTGTTCCAGAGCATGGCCCTCCGCGACATCTTTGCAAAGGTTGACGTGGCATCCTTTGCAAGTCACTGGACAGGTGAACTTTAGGTGCTCTTTCATTTACCTTCGGAATTTCCGGCAGTTGCTTCACCTCCTTTCCTCCCTTTAGACATGGAGCACGAGACGAGGTCATGTGTTTGGTGACCATTTCAAATCCCATAACATTCAATTGCCGCGTTTCTTGATCCTTTGATGTGCAAGATGCACTGATGCAGAGAAGTGATTATGATCACTATTCTTTGAATCAGTCAGCCTCAACTGTAACATTTGCATTTGCACCTTGTTTACATCTACATATTTCATTCTGATATCAATGTGGCGTTGGTTGGTTGTGTGATAGCATTGTCCTCTATCAAGTTCAGACAGTAAATGTGCATTGGTTACATGTGTTATACTTACTACTCTTTGTTGTTTGCGCTTATTTTGATTGTTAGTATTTGCTAGTGTAGAGAAGATCAATCTAAGTTAATTAGTATTTTTCCTCTCTTTACTTCTTCCAATTTGATTAGATTATGTGTGGGTTTGAAATATTTCTCTATATCTTCATTGATCATCTATGAGCGTGAAATCATTTTGGAGGTAGGATTTGATTTAATGTATTTACGTAGAATCATCTTCTGCGTATTATTTCACTTGCCTTATAACATCATATTGACCTAATACTTTTTCTGAATGTAAATTGTTTTTGACAATGTTTAGTTGAACATGATCATTTTTTGGTTGCAATTTCATCATGGTTTACTCCCAAAAAATTTCATGTGCCAGTTCAAACGTTAAAAATTGCATTATTCCACTCATGGGGCATGAGATAGTTTGTTGAAGTAGAGTAATCACACTACTTCACTTGTACACTGCTACTTTCTTGTAGTATACACATGAATAAATTTAATAAATCAAGAAAATTTGGTTATATAGTGCTCTTATGGACCTCTTGAAAAAACAACTACCACACTTTGTCTCCTCGTTACACTTCATTTAGAAAACTCAAATGACTAGAATTCCACCATGTTTAATTTACAAACTCTTGTTATTTGATATTTGTATTGTTCAAACTTCATCAGAAATTCAAATATATTTTTATAATGAATTCTGTAAAAAATTCCTAATTTTGAATTTCAATTTTTTTACAAAAATTGTTGTATCATTTCTTTCATCTTTGTTTGATATGAGTATCATTGATTATAAAAATCTTCATAGCTTTTACCTTGTTGCTTCAAATTGTTTTTACATTTCATACACACATGTTTCACATCCAAGTTTCAATTCAGATTAGCTTCATATCCAACAAAATATTAATATATTTAACTACTTTTCAAATTAATAAAAAAATTATAATCTTGCAAATTTTTATGTCTATTTTTTATTTCACCTTGCGTAACAAAAAACATTTAATCGATTAAAGGTACAAAAAAATACATTTGGATTGCAAATTTCTTAATTGGCTGAGTTTTATACTTAAATAAATTCATATTGAAAATAAATTCAAACCATGAAGTATTTTATTTAAAATTAAATTATAAAAAATTCATGAAAGTTCCAAATAAAAATTTCAATGATTTCTATAAGAACTTTCAATGAAATTAATCTACATCATTTTTAATTCAACATAGCTTTGATTTCTGTTTTGAACATGTTAACATAATGAATCAAATGATTCAAATTTAATTAAAAATCAAAACACAACTTCAAACTGATTGAATTTAAATGATTTTACTGATAAAAGTGAAAAAAAATACATCAAATAGTACTCTTTGTAATGTATTTACAAATTAATTTTTAAAATTTAATGTCATTGATGGTGATCAAGTTAAATACAATTTTTAAAAAAATCGACATAAATAAATTCAAGTCAATGATAAAAACAAAGTCATATCTAGTTTGTGAAATTTTTTATTATGACACAATAATAATAATAACATACATTAAAAGAAAAAAATAGTTTTTTTAACATAAATATATATCATAATGAAATATTAATCATATTATCTATAAAAATAATATCTATGAATGTAATAAAAATATCAAAGAAATTTTGCAAAAAATATTTTTTGTTGTTGAAGTTATATTTTATTTATTTCATACCATGTAAGTTTTGAATCAAATAAAATTTCCAATAAGTTTTTGATATAAAATAATTAGGTACTATTTTTAATTATAATTTTCTTGATGTAAATTTAACCTTTTATTATCTTTGCTGTAAATTCATATTGTCATATTTACATATCAATAAATCACATTTATTACTTTTTAAGTAATTGTGTGATAATGTATAACTTTATTTTGTCTTAATTTTCCAATTTATGAATGATATTTAAATTAAGAATTCATATTGCATTCTATTTTTAGACGTCATATTTACAAGTTTTAGCCACATTGAATAAAAACGTACATTTTTGCCAATTAATGTCCCACTGCGCATTTTTTGCTTCAGATGTTGGCTTTGATCATTGACAATCCATCACAATGTTCGGCAAGGATTCCTCTTGCAAAACGTCTTTTCAGCATCATCATGTCCTTGAGTTTGCATTGCAAATCAATGGAGAAGACGTCAAGTCCCAAGTCGTGTTCGTGATATGTCGTTTTTGCACGATTTTTTAACAAACCAAGAAGTAAAACGCAAAGTGCATCAAGTAATATATTGCTTCCTTTTGGAGAGAGATTTGCAACAAGCACAACTCTACTCACATATCCTAGAATGACAACGGTACAAGAAAGTATAAAAGAAAAAAAAGATTCATTTCTTTAACAAAACAAAATCGACTGTCATCTTTGATTACTTCGATATGGACAACAACTATTATCAACGTGGTTTTTTATAAGAACATTGTGGATGAAATCATTGGAAAACTGTTCTTTTGTGCGGTTGACGAATCGCAAATTTTCATTGAAGAACATGGAGCTTTTCACCAAAGTTTTCAATACCATGTTCTCGTACCAAGTCTTTATTAAAAATGTGAAACGCTGTGAATTCTTCCTCGATTACACCTCTATTGGATTATCTTTTTGTCAAACTGTTGGTATTATTGATCAACACAAAGAAACCTTCAACAATACCAAACTTATTGGCCTCAACGATCATCTTGTTAGTAAATGGGTCAGAGTATGTATTGCTATCAATCTGCAACGCATCTCCGTTGTGTCAAAATCTTGGCAAGTTTACTTCCAAACTTGTGATGCAATCATTGCTTTTACCACTGATGGTGAGAACACGATGACATAACTGTTTGATTGTTCACAACACCGGAATGACCGGATACAATTCTGATGGTTTGACGGTGAGAACACAATGACATAACTCTTTGATTGTTCATAACAACGGAATGATGGGATACAACTATGATGGTTTGACTTGAATTGACAAGATTGATTTCAATTTGATGCGGATTTGATGTGACCTAATTGGGTCAATTTCATCGTCAAGGATTGTTTTCATTTGATCCATGATGAGTTATTATACAAGATTCTTCATAAATTCAGCGATCACTATCCCGCCAGCACAATTTGCAAATGCAAATGGGACACACATGCTCAAAAGATACGAATTGATGAACTCAACTTGAGCATATTCTATCTTGGATGCTTCAACATCGCCGTCATCTCCTGGTTTGAATTGATGAGAAGAATCCAACTACGCTCCAGAAAATGGATGATGGATGATGATGGCCGCTGTTCTATCAATATGTAAATTGTCAACATCATCTTGGTCATTTTGCAATCTCAGAATCTTATTTTGTCATAGCAAAAAACTAAATTCAAAATTTTTTCTTCCCGTCTGATGTTATCAATGAAAATTAAACTACTAAATTTCAATCTAGAATTTTAAAACTTGTAATCCGAGCAATATATCATTGTGGAGCCCTTTGTAGTCACTATCGACAAAGTGG